ATGTCTGTAGCATATGTTGCTGTGAAATTAGGCCTTGTTGGGATATGGCTGTTTGTCATTATGATGTATTTTAAATAAATATATATATATATATATTTTTAAAGAGCCTTTTTTACCAGTTCAAGAAGCTTAACTAACCAGCAGTCACCACATCTGAATTTTGTCTCTGGGGCATAGATGGCAGACCAAGATTAAAAGTGGTAACTCAATTATGCCATCTGCCTGTCTGGCTGTCCTGCTGCCCTGCTGACCATGGGACACCAAGGTCATTGTGTTCCCAGTGGGTCCAGGCTCAGCCCTCTGAGTGTTTGATCTTTGCCCCTTTCAGTGGACTGTTGACTGCAGTCCCTGCAAGTGCTTTAGCCCAAGTGGGGTTTTCTCAGAGCACTGCCATGAGTTAAGTGTATGTTTAGCCAAATAATTTCTCGGTAAGGGAAAAATGCAGTCATCCAAATTTTACAACAATGACAGAAGTGCGAGTAGGAAAGATTAGGCAACATCTGAGTTTTAATTTGAAAAGTGTCCAAGTCATTGTCAGGCCATCTAGGAGCGAATGATTCGCTAGAGATTCTTTGGGAGACCCCATCTGAAATACTAAGACCACCAGTGAGGGGAACAAGTGTTAAAATGCCAGCAGCTTTTCCCTCTCATTTTTTTTTTTTTTTTTGAGAATTCTGTAAAAATGCAATGAAAATTGAGTGGTACTTTAGAGTTGAAGGAGAGAGTTACCGCAGATTAGAAACATATTTCTAGATTTCATTTCCATGCCACAAATCCACATGATGCCATTTTTCAACTGTACAGAAGAATCTGCTTTTGAATCTGACATAATTGTAATGGTAATGTCAAAGGCCAAATTTTCACTTGTTAATACTTTCCCACATTTGTCCTTGAATCTAAATAACTTTATACAGTACTATAAATTTAACTTACATCGAGTTTGATGTCAATTCTTGTGAAAAGAGCTTTCTGCATATAATAGACATACAGTTAAAGAACACAGCAGAGTACAAAGTTTTCAGGAACAGTTTTGGAACCAACAGAAAATGTCACCTTTTATTTACCATCTTATATATCAGTTTTACCAGCTACTTCTGAATTTGTACATTATTTGTAAGGAAAAGGAGGAACACCCTAAGACTTGTCTAACCTAGTGGAGAATGTGTGTGTTGGGCTTAGGATGGTAGCTAAGTCTTATTGAGCTGTGTTATCTAACTTGTATATACAAATTGTAATTAAAAGTTTGGATTCACCTGTTTCTCACAGTTTAAAACGACAAGTAATCACAAACTCTGGAATTGTGACTAGTGTATGATTTAAGACTGTAGAAGCAAGGAAGCTCTTTCAAGTGCTAAAACTAAAAACTTATAGTTTTTGGCTCAAATTCAATAAGTACTGTTTGTATACCAGGATATGTGAGATGTAAATGTAGTAGGTCACTTTTCACCCTTGTAGCTATACAATAAAAATTTTGTAGAACAGAAATAGCTTGTACTACTGAATTAACAAAAGTTATACTAAAGTATCATGTTTAAACAAAAAAAAATATATATATACAGAGTTAAGCTTGTTGCTGTTACCCTGTCTGGATTTGAAAAGTGTGCTGATTTATATATATATATATATATACATACATATATATATTACATACAGACACACACACACACACACACACACACACACACCTACACACCTAAAATGGCCTGAAGCAGACATCCATGTAATTACAGTTGTGAAATGAAAACATTTTGGAAAGAACATTGTATCATAGTTCATTCATTTGCAGTGGATCTTTGTTCCTTTTTACTGTGGTACTTTTAGAAATGAGTGTCAAGTTTGAAATTAGATCTGCTAAATTGGGGTTTTGCTGCTTGAACTCTGCACTGGGTCCTCAAATAAACCGATGTGAATGTAGTCCCCCCCCCTCCCTGTGTGAAGCAGCAGCCACACCCCAACAGAATAGGAGGAAAAATCTAGAACTATTTCAAGTTTTATCTTTTTGTATATGAAAATAAAATAATAATAATAATAAACACTTTGTTGTCTCTTTTAATCATGGGGCAGGAGATTGAAATTTCTTTTCATGGGAATTAGAAAAAAAAATAATGGCATTCCCCTGCTTACAGGACTGGTGCCTGTAAGTGTGCCTGTGAGTTCTGCTTGATTCACATGCTGTTGTTGGTGGCTGCAGACCTAGTCTGTGGTGGGGCTGGAGCCAAGCACAGTTCTTCATTTCTGTAATTGAGAAGTCCAGGGCCTACTTAGGAACACTGCAGGCTTCTCATAAATGAACTGATCTGGGACTCTGGGTAAGTTCCTGCAGAGCAGGGGTGTGTTTTCCAGATCATCAAGATCCCACCCTCCCACCCATTCCTATACTTTGCAAATGACCCTGAGCAATATTTTTATAAGTGGAACAGAGAAGCCTTGAAGGAAAGTTGTATTCAGAACTTGCAGAATACAAGTCCTGCCATTGCCAAACTTGGCTAAGTACCCCAGTCACTAGCAAGCTACTTAAAAAAAAAAAAAAAAGGCATGAGCCCCTAGATCTGAATCAGTAAACCAAATCTCGTGTTTTGGAGATCCTAACTTAAGTCTCACTAAACTGAAACATGGTTGGTTCCTTGGTAATAAAATAATTATGGCCTCTACAACCTAACCAAGAAAACAGGAAAGCCTCAAAGTACCTGCTTTCTGCAATAAAAATGTATTTTGCAGGGCTCAAGACTAGTGTTTAAATGTTGAAGTGCAGAAAAGACCCTTTGAATCTTTCCAGTGGGCTTAATGTCCCCCTTTTAATTTGTCTTTTATTAGGATTAAGCAACCTGCATGATAACTTCTGGAGGAATTTTTGATGAAGGGGCTTTTTATTTAGGGACTGCTTGTAAATCTTTGGCTCTTTCTGTTCTTTCAGATTTAGAAAGCTCACCTTTTGTTAGCGATTGCCCCTGAGGAGCTGGAGAATGAATGACAGGTAGGCAAAAGGCTGACATTTTTGATAAAGGATCCTGGGGGTGGAAAAGGTGAAAGGCTGAACCTCAGGGCCCATCTGATCATATATTTCCTTCAGCAAAGAAACCTTCACCAGAAGATATTTTACACAGGAGGTGGTTTATAAAAACAGGTTTGTCTGAGAGCAAATATGGGAGGGCTCAGGCCATTTGGTCTCAAGCACCTCTAGGGAGCATTTAGGGTTCCTCCATTTCCATTAACACTTTAAAAACTAGCATAGTCCCCTCATATTATAGGTAAGAAAACTGGCTCAGAGAAAGTTTGACTACCCAATATCAAGTAGCTCAACCAATTCCTCTTGGGGGTCAAAGTATGGATTTACCATTTCTTCCAAGTGCAGGATCTGGATGAGGAAAATGATCTACCATTATCTCTTTCTGAATTTAGCACAGTGCCCAGCATTTAGTGAAGGCCTTGAGAAATGATTCTAAAGCGACTGTATTTAATAACATTCTGGTAGACGCTGCCAAAATAGCCTTGAAATCTATAGATAGTAGTATTTGGTTGAATTTTCAGGATTCTTGGTTGCAAGTGACGGAAACCACTAGGCAAAAAGGGGCTCCAATAGAAGATCCTAGGGGAAAAAAAACAAGCTAAGCCTTGGGAAAGGCAGGTTGGGCTTGAGGAAAGCCAGTGACACAGCATTGTAGACCTTATCTGTGTCTCAGCATTTCTTCCATTATTGCTCAGTATGGGACCAGATGCATCTGTTCATTTGTCTACTTGGCAGAAAACAATGCTGCAGACTGGTAGTTTGAGTCACAGCTTTGTTGCCTGATCCAAAGTCCCTAGAAATGACTCTAGTTGACCTAACTTTTACGCAATCAGAGCCAGAGACCCACAGGATTATATAATATGACTTCAGAAGAGGTACTGCTAGGGAGGGGCAGCCTCCTGTTTGAGACTGGCAAAAACAGCCTGTACTACAGTTAAGTTATCATCACTGAGATCAGATGAAAGATATTGCTACTAGTTGTCTAAGAAATGGGAAACATGAAGTTATGCAAAGAACTAAGTCCACATGGAAAGCTGGAGATTGTGTTGCAGTGAGTTTTTTTTTAAAGTGGGGATTTATGAAAAAAAATACATTGTGTGTATACATACACATAATATATTGCCAACAGGCATTCAGCAATCTAAATTTTAAATTCTATCAAGACAAAGTGGCTCAAAAATCACTAATATTTATAGAGGGCTTAAAGATATGCCCTGGGCACTTCACTAAATGCCCTAATGTGTCCTCTCCTTTAATCCATACAAGAACCCCAGGGTCTAAGTAGTTGTAGTACTCTGGCTTAAAAAAAGGAAACAGAAGCCTAAAAAGGTGAAGCAACAAACCCAAGGTGGAAAGCAATTGAGGGGGTTCCAAACTTTTGCACTCTGGTCCAAGGTCTTGAGCCACCACGTAGAACTGGCTCGCCAAGAAACTCTATAGGATGTACAAAGCTATTTTTAGAAGTTATAATTTCGAAACCATATGACTTTGAAGCCAGGTGTCATAAAGAAGCCAGTGTGGCATAGATTTTGGAACCAGATTTCGAATTTAAGTCTCAATTCTGGGTATCTGAGGTGGACCATGTGCAAGTGTTTATTCACCTAGTCAATGAAAGTAATGGTATTCGGACTGTGTATGCACACTATTAAGACCTTAAGACGTGGGATGTGGGTCCGTGGTAGGCCGCTTGCCTTGCACGAGGCCCTGGGTTCAATCTCCGGTAACACCACCTCCACCACCTTCAAGACGTCATACTCTACCACACTACCAGGTGGGTCGGCCAGATATAGATGGGGGTAGCTCCTGGTCCTTCAGGTTTGTCACCAGGGGGCGCGCGAGGACTTAAGCTGCGAGGGCGTGACTGCGCTCTGGATCTAGCATCTCTGGGAAGCTCGAAACACAGCACTGCGGATCGCGCATGCGTCTCGATCCTGCGGCTACGATTGGTCGTCGGGCTTCGGACCCACAGTGCACATGCGCAGTGGCAAAAAGATTGGAAGCACGGGAGAGATGGCTGCGAAGAGTTTTGCTTCCAGACTTAGAGGCTCCCGGCGATTTCTGAGTGGTTTCCTGGCCGGGGCTGTAGTGGGCGCGGCAGGAGCAGGGCTGACGGCCCTGCAGTTTTTTCGGAGCCGGGGCGCTGGGGCAGCGTTGGCAGCGAGGGAGCCGGACGGTAAGTCTGTGGACCCGCCCTCCGGGCCCGGTCCAGGTGGCAGCTCGAAACCCTACGCGCCCCGCGCAGCCTTGGCGCGGTCGGACTCCCTGCCCCCTTTCCCGACCTTAATTTTCTCTGCAGATCTTTCCCTTCGTCCCCGAAGAATTCACCAGGGTATGTATTTTTTTTTTTTTTAATGCCTGTGTCCTTCACTAGATCGTTAGCCCCATCAGCATTGAGACTGTCTTTTTTTTTGTTCACCATATGCCTAGCACGGTACAGAATTGGCATTCAAGAAGTATGGATGGAAAAGGAGATGAACTCATAGTTTTGGCAGATTAGCTAACCACCCTTATTTTCACTATTCCAATGAATTAATACGCTAGCCTTTCCTCAAATTACCAGGTGCCTTATCTATTGCCAAAAAATGACCAAAGTCTTGTTTCTTGCACTTTCTCAGACATGCTAATTTAATTTAATTTGTTACTTCCTTTTTTTTTTTTTTTTTTTTTTGAGTGTTGAGGTTGAACGTATGCCCCCAGTCCCACATGTTAGGCAAGGGCTCTACCACTGAGCCATATCCCTATCCCTGACTTGCTCCTTTTGAGCAAGAGAACTGATCTGGTGGTTGAAGACTGAAGAAGTCATCCGAAAGATTCGCCACTAAAGAGTGTGCTTGGTTTCTTTCCCTAGGAAAAAACAGTACCCCATTTTATTGTCTTGCTACAAGGCACATCTCTGTCCTTAGTAGGAGACTGTCAGTGAATGATAGTGTGTGTGTGTGTGTGTGTGTGTGTGTGTGTTGCTGGGGATGGAACCTAGGGTCTTGTGCATGCAAGGCAAGCACTCTACCAACTGAGCTATATCCCCAGCTCCTGAATGATAGTCTTTTAAAAAACTTAAGCTAAGACTGTGATTTTTGTCTCCACACTTAATCCACATTCACTCTTAAACTCCATGCTCAGTTTTAAAAATAAAGAGGCAGGCTCTTTCCCCTTCAATCACGGGAATGATTCATTACCATGACATGGAGTGAAAATAGGACCTACAGAATGTAATAACTCATGTTACCATTTGGTTGATCACCTGAAACATATATTTAAAAAATATTATACAGAACTTTTAATAGGGGTTTTCTGTTGCCATTGACAGAATATACTGCAAAGGACATTGCAAATAAAGCAGAAACAAACTGATTGCAACTATTTGCCCTAAATGATGACTGGGTAGAAGAGATACTAAGTACCTCTTCCATCCATACTTCTTGAATGTCAGTTCTGTACCAAGTACCACGCTAGACATATGGTGAACAAAGGATGGTTGAAGTAGAATTCTGAGCTAATTCTTTGTAAATGTCACACCTGTTCTTATAATCTTTTGTTCTTAATTAGAGTCACTAATTATTTGCTGTTTTTGTCCTCTCTCTCTTTCTCTGTCCTTTATAATTTTTAGAATCTGCAGAAAAGGCTGTATTGGAACAATTTGGATTTCCTCTAACTGGAACAGAGACTAGGTGTTATACTAATCATGCCTTGTCTTATGATCAGACAAAGCGGGTGCCTAGATGGGTTCTCGAACATATATCCAGAAATAAGATAATGGGTAAGTGGTTGAAAAGAAATTGAAGTAAAGGTATCAGGGAAAGATGTTTCTAAATTTTTAACAAAGTTATTCAATATTCTCAACCTTTTTTTTTTTTTTTAACCTCACAGCACATGTAGGAAATGATACTTATATGGCTTACTAATTAAGTGGACCCTGCTTGGCAGCCAGGGAGCCCCCAGATCCTTCCCAATTGTTTCAGAGGCTGACAGAATTCAAATCGTGACACTTGAGATGGGGTGCTCTGTCTTGTTGTTGCTGTAAGGAGCATCCTTCATTTTTTTTTTTTTTTCTTAACCTCAAGTGCCTACTGTGTGTTGGGCACTGTGTTAACTCTTGGGGATATAGCAGTGACCAGAGTAGATGGTCTCTGTCCCTATGAAACTTTCAGTTGGGGGAATAGATTGACCTATTAAATTATTGTGAATATGTAATTATAATTGGTAACTTCTCTGAAGGAAGTGATTACAAGTTAAGGTAGCATAATTAAGGAACAGTAAAGAGTATGATGAGAGATTATAATTAGAGAACATAATTTTGATTAGTGAGACTTCTCTGATAGTAGACTAAAGGGTAGACGGATGTCACCTAGACAATAGGGATTGGTTGGCCATGGAATGTGGAAAAGAACATTCTTGGTGCAAAGAAGCACATTTTTTTTTATCTGTGAAGGCCTCAGTGTAGAGGTGAGTTTGTTCCTTTAGGAAACTAAAAGAAGGCCAGAAGGGAGAATGTGATGTTAAGTGAGACTGGAGAGGTAGGCAGGTCTGATTGTGTGTCTTTACAAGATTTCTTTAATTAAGATTATGAGACCTTGCAGTTTGGGTAGCCGAGGCAGGAGGATTATGAGTTTAGAGCCAGCCTCCAATGCAGCAAGGCCCTGAGCAACTCAGGGATGTGGCTTAGTGGTTAAGTGCATCTGAGTTTAATCGCTGGTACCCCAAAAAAAGATTTATCAAATCTTTTTTTTTTAATTTGTTCTAATTAGTTATATATGTCTGTAGAATGCATTTTGACATATTGTACACAAATGGAGCACAAGTTCTCATTCCTTTGGTTGTACATGGTGCAGAGTCCTTCCAATAGTGTAATCATACATGTATATAAGGTAATAATGTCTCTCATTCTACCAAGATTATCAGAATTTGACGATGAGTATCAAATTTGTTTCAAGGTAGATCCTTCCAGTTTACTCTCCCACCATTACTGTTTGTCCTTCCTCCCCATCCATATCTGTATGAGCATTTTTAAACTTTTATCAGTTTAATAATGATTATAGTTGTGCTTAATTGATTATCAGGGAAGGATAACATTTTTGTGAATTGTTCTTTTCTGTAAATTGTTCTCTATTTTCAGTTTGGATAGCTTTTTTTTTTTTTTTTTAGTATTTCTGTTACGTATTAAGGGTATTCCTTTCATTACAGTTGTTTTGTTCCTATTTTGTTATTTGCATTTGAATTTGCTATGTAGAACATATGTTACTTTTATTTTGCTTTAAAATCTGTGCTATATCTGAATATTAAAATGCTAATATTAAAAAGAATGTGTACTTTTCTAGGGTATACAGCCTGCAGCATGGCAGGAGGCTTGGAATGTACTTGCTGCTAGAGGGAAGCTGATATAGTTGAAAACCTTATCACAGAAACTGAAAGTCGATTATAAATTTATGTCAAGAGAAGCCCGCTTGATTTTATAATAAATTTTTATAGCAAAAATGTTCCCAATGTAGAAGGAATTTCAACTTTACTAATTTTTTTCCTATTAATTATCATTTTCAGAAGCATATCAGAAAAGCAGTGCATTTTATATTGTAAATCCTTGAGTTTCAAAGTAGTAAAATAGAACCAATTAATATTTGAAAAAAAAGCAGTACACCTGGATTTTACTTGTCTTTGGTGTAAAGAGTCTTCTGTTTTCAGTATTGACAGACTAAGTTATTAAGGCTAACTCTCTTTCTGAAAATTATAATGTTATTAGCAGTATATAAAAGAATTTTTAAAAATCACTTTTAGAAAATGAAGAGCCAACAGGATGTTGGAGAATTGCCTGGCAAAATCTGGGGCAAAGACAGAGAGACAAGTCCCTGCAAATTTGCCTTGGATTTCACAGCCTTATAGGGTGAGAAGGATTAAAGGAAAGACTAGGGCTCACCCAGGGTAAGTTGTCTTATAGGAAACATTTCTCCCCCATTAACCTGGAACTCCAAAGGGCTATACTCTTGGAGAAGAGTAAATCAGAACTAACCTGCCTATATGCTGTAGGGTACTATATGGAAAGTTGTCTTGACATTAGCAGAGGCATCAAATGGGAAGCTTGTTTCAGAGAGGCAGAGGCTACAAACTGTCCCATCTGCAGACTGGTATCCCAAACCTGTGCAGAGGAGAGAACCTTAATTCCTGAACTTGGTTTAATATGGTCACTACTGGTAATGCTGCTGGATGCCTGATAGGAGTAAATTTACCTCTTCCCTCAAGGAAGGGATCATCTTATTGCATCTTTGGAAATTTCCACAAATGAGATTTAAGGGCAGTGAGGGCCAGGCAAAGATAAGTTGGCATGAAAGAAGGCAATTCCAAAGTTACTGACACTTAGAAGTTTATTTATGATAATTCTGTATTATCAGTTATTTTTTTTTCTTTATGAAGTGATTCCAGAAAGCTGGGTATTAGGTACTTTTCTATGAACCTTGGGATCTGATCATTTAAAAATTTTTTTTTTTTTTTAAAGAGAGAGTGAGAGAGAGAATTTTAATATTTATTTTTTCTTAGTTCTCGGCGGGCACAACATCTTTGTATGTGGTGCTGAGGATCGAACCCGGGCCGCATGCACGCCAGGCGAGCGCGCTACCGCTTGAGCCACATCCCCAGCCCCATTTTTAAAATTTTTTAAAAATATTTATTTATTTATTTATAGGTGTAGACAGAAATACAATGCCTTTTTTTTAAGTGGTGCTGAGAATCTAACCCGGGTCCTGCTCATGCTAGGCGAGCACTTTACCGCTGAGCCACAACCTCAGCCCCCTAAAATTTTCTTGGATCAAAAAAATGACACTGTAATCAGTGACTTCATTGATCTTCATCTTACACTTGTTTGAGTAACAATTGAGTATATTCTGTAGCCCTTATCGTTCTTGTAGTTCAACAAGTTCTGAGCTGATGACAGTGGAAAATATAATATTAGAATCTGCTCATATCCTCTGTGGCAAACCATTTTGGAGGCTTCAGAAAATAAGCAAAAGTGAAATTTCTTTTTTCCTTTGTGATGCTAAAATGTTGTGTTTTAGAAATTCCTGAGTGGAGCTCATAACTTAAACATTTGTGTTGTCATGGCTTTAAGAGGCAATGAGCAATATGTCAGAGACACCCCCTCCTCCGTGCTGTGCCTGCCCAGAACAAATTGTTTTGTTTCTATATTTATCCATTATTTCAGTACAAATAAACTTGTCAAATTATGATTGTATAAAACACATGGTTTTTTTGTTTTCTTTTCTTTTAAACAGGAGTTTATCTAGTAGCCAAGCTTTTTATGTATTTGAGTTATTTGATTGATCATTGTTTTACTTAAATACTATCCAGGATCGTCTTCCTTGAACTGGGAAGGCTAGAATCAAAATCATGAGAGAGCTACCCTGTATGAAAGGATTCTTTCCCGGGTCAGTCCTTTCTAAATTCAGATGAAGTATCTGAACTATCCCAGGAACTCGAGAAGTGCATGCAGTCTCCAGTACTAGCTGCTTGAAGAGATGCCAGCCAGCAGCAGCCAGCTTGCTGTATTTAGAGAACTTCGAGGGATATTTGTCCACTGACAACTTAACCATTTTGTGTGTTTTTCTTAGGTGATGCCGACAGAAAACATTGTAAATTCAAGCCCGATCCCAACATCCCTCCAGCCTTCAGTGCCTTCAATGAGGACTATGTTGGAAGCGGCTGGTCACGAGGACACATGGCTCCAGCAGGAAATAACAAATTTTCTAGTGTAGGCATATTTGGGGCAGGATAGGGATATGGGGCTGATGTTATGTGTACCACGGGACTTAGAGGTTAAAAGTCTAGAGGCCACAATCTTAAAATTTGAGAACTTCCATTCTCTGTTTCTTATTTTTCTTCTCTCTCTCTCTCTCTCTCTCTCTCTCTCTCTCTCTCTCTTTTAAATCATATGCCAAGACATTTTTAAGCAGGGTGAATGAGGAAAACTAAATGCCACATAAAAAGAAACTGAAAAACTACTGGAGACTAAAGCTTCTCACTCATCCTTGTGTGTGTGCCACATGCATGTGTGTGTGGGGGTGTCTAGGAAATCCAAATCCAGGACTTCAACTATGCTAGGCAAGTGCTTTACCCCTGAGCTACACTTCTAGCTCCCAACTCACTCATTTTTATTTTGAAAAGTTGAAAAGATAGTACTACAATCACACTTTGGTACATGGACTTTATATGGATATAAGTATGTATGTGTGTGTGCATGTGTATGTGTGTAATGTATGTGTTTATCTAGTAGCCAGGCTTTTTATGTATCTGAGATGTTTTAAAGCCATCAAAAGAAAATTGCAATTTCTTTCTAAATAGATTGTTCAGGGCCATGAGTCATCTAAGAAGGAGAATATATTATGGCCAGAGTATCACACCAAAAAGTGTGTACAAATGAATTTCTGTATATTTGTAGAGTCTTATTTAAAAAACAATTGATGGTCAAGTTTCCTGAATGCTCCCAATTATGTCTATAATAGTTTTTTGGGGGATCCAGTATCTAATCATGAATCATACATTACATTCTGTTTTCCTATTTCTTTTTTTTGGGAGGGGCTGGGACCAGGGATTGAACTCAGGAGTACTCAACCACTGAGCCACATCCCCCAGCCCTATTTTGTATATTTTATTTAGACACAGGGTCTCATTGAGTTGCTTAGTACCTCACTTCTGCTGAGGCTGGCTTTAAATTTGCAATCTTCCTGCCTCAGCCTTTTGAGCTGCTGAGATTACAGTTGTGCATCACTGCGCCTGGCTGTTGTCCAATTTCTCAAGTCCCCTTTAATTTTGAATAGTTTCCTGGCTCCCACCCCTTGCAGAAAGGGAGAAGTATCTTTCATGACACTGGCATTTTATTATATGAATTGTTGATGATTACTATCTACAATAGTGGTTTCAAAAATCCCTAGACTTGCTAAATCAGAAATCTTGGATGTTGGATGTAGGCATCAATGTTTTTTAAGCTCCCTGGTTTATTCCATTGTGCATCTAAGGTTGAGAGCCTCTGCTTGAAGAAAAGATGGTAATTATGACATTGACAGTATAGATATTTGAAAAGGAATGCAGTGAGAGAGAGCCTTGTGTATGTGAGTGAGAGGTGTGAAGTGAGTAAACCTATTGTGGCCAGGAACAAAGGGAATTTTTCTCTGCCACTTTTGAACTGTGCTATACTTTTTAAATTCCTCAAAGTTGACCATTTTTGAGAAATTCTCAGCCACATGCTTAAAACCAGAATTAACACTTTTAAGCTTTATATTGGAAACTTTTAGTTCTTGGAGTTTACGTAATAAGTTTTGATTTTGTAAATGATAAGCAAAGCTAAGCACACTTAACTACTTATTTGTTATAGTGCTTATTTTGAGTAGAGTTTTCTGTCCTCATGGCATTCCTTTATCTAAACAAGAACTGTAGTCACTAATTCCCTAGAGCTAATGATTAATAAGAACTGGTTTTTCTATGTCTGATTTGTAAAATATTTCAGTGTAAGTTACTGTTTTAATTTCTTTTCACAGAAAGCCATGGCTGAAACCTTTTACCTTTCTAATATTGTGCCTCAGAATTTTGATAATAATTCTGGATATTGGAACAGGTGAGGTGGAAAGTTTATAAAATACATTCTGTGGAAGATGAATGGTGTAACAGGAGAATGTATAGTACTGTCTTTGTTTTTCAGAAGTAACCCCACCAAAGTTAGAGACTTGGACCATTTTCTATATTTTGTGTGTAGAGCCTTCTGTGGATAAATATACTTCAAAACTTAGCCTACCTTTTTATTTGCCACTGTTTAAAAGTCAAATTTTGAAAGAAACTTAATGATATTTCTGTCAATAACTGAGGCAGTAACATCTCTTGTTTTTTTTTTTTTTTTTTAGTGTGTCCAAAGAGGGCACTTTTTCTTTTTCTTTTCTTGTATACCAGTGCTTCTGTTTTTTAAAGAAAAAGGTTGGTACTGCTCAACATAACCATTAAGCAGTTTTTGATGAAACTTAAATATAAAATTCTTTGGACCGTCTGCATTTTTCTGACATTAAGTTCTCTCAGATGGTCTCTTTAAGCATTAAAACTGGCTTTGATGAAGGTGGTTTCAGGCTATTGTGTTTTCCTCATATAGTATTTTATGATTTAAAAGAATTAAGAGCACACCACACTAAAAGAAGACTCCAACAGTTACCAGTCGTGGCCACATGCATTTCATCTGCATGACCATACTTCTCCCCATTCAGATTGCAGATATATTGTTTTATTTGCAGGTATTTCAATGTATATTTTTAGAAGATAAGAATACTTTTAAAATACCCTAAATTTGCCCCTAAAATACATAACAGCAGTTCTTTATTACCAGGTTCAACTTTCCCTAATTGTCTTTTATTTTATTTTTGTTGGCTAGTTTAATCAGGATTATAATAAGATCTGTACCTAGATTTGGTTGATATATGTATGTCTTCAGTTCCTTATAATCTGTAGGTTTCCCTTTTTTCTTATAAATTCTTTGTTGAAGATCTAGGATGTTTGTCCTATATTTCCTTCCTATGTTCTGGATTTGCTGATTACATACTTGTGAGAACATTTAACATTTTCTTTTCCCAGTGGATAAATTTTTAGGAGGAAAACTTTAACTTATAATTGGACATATATGCTATAAAAACAATTTAATTTTACATTTTAGATAAACAGGAATGATGACAAGTACTGTTATCTCATTTAGAGATCTCTTCCAACTATAGTGTAAGTGCAGATTAAAACTAACATTTACCATTTTTATCTGGTAAGTTTGAAATGAATAATTTTTTTTGTTGTTTTGAAACTACTGTGTCATATTTTGGAACTTAGAGTGAATTCGTAGAATTTCATTAAAAAACAGTTTTTCAGTTTTTCATATAATCAAGCCATTAAAATATTTTTTAATATTAATTTTTGTAGTTGTAGTCAGACACAGTACCTTTATTTTATTTATTTATTTTTATGTGGTGCTGAGGATCGAACCCAGGGCCTCGCAAGCACTAGACGAGAGCTCTACCACTGGGCCCCAGCCCTCATTAAAATATTTATTCAGTTATTCTAGCCCTTGACATTTATGCTAAGGATTTAATACAGTATTGCATTAATTAGACATGTTAAGATAAACCAAATTGTCCTGCAATAGGAATGGTTAAATATTTTTTTGAAAACTATGGCATAGATTTTTTGTGTGTATGCCATGCTGGGGGATCTAATAAATGGCCTCGTGCATGTTAGCTCTACCACTGAGTGTGACACTCTAAGCCCTGACAAAATTTCAATTCTAAAATGTGTGCTAAGTGTATACAGGGAAGAATGTAGATAGTTAAGTTTACATGTGTGATTTTAAAAAACTTTTTTTTGCAATAAAACTTTGAGAACACCATTGCCTATATGCTTATAAAATTTTGTGCCATGGTTGCATTTAAGTTGACACAAATGCAGTATTTTTATTATCTTTCCTAGGAACTGATGTGGTGATGTGCTTTTCCGCATGTTTGTCAGTTTTTTTGGTTTGTTTTTCAGAGTAGAAATGTACTGTCGTGAACTGACAGAGAGGTTTGAAGATGTTTGGGTGGTGTCTGGACCTTTAACCTTACCTCAGACTAGAAGTGATGGGAAAAAAACAGTTAGTTACCAGGTAGGAACTTATAACATTCAGGCTTTTGTTATTTGTATGAAATTATAATCTTATTTTGTGTTGTACTTTTTAGTTTCATTTATTCAGTAGCATTTATTGAACATCTATTGGGATTATAGGCATGGAGGAGGTAGTGAAGGATAAAAAACAACCTTTGACTTCAAGGAGCTCACAGTAGGAGACAAATGCATTAACAATGAACCACTTTAAAGTGTAATATGCTTAGTAGAGATTAATACATAGATACAATGCTGTCACAGAAGCCCTCAAATTCATGTGAGTCTCAAAGGCTTAACAGGGGAGATACCTGAACTAGAGCTTGACAGGTAGGTAAAGAGTAAACTGAGTCAGGAGGAAATCATGGGAATTCCATAAGGTGGCGCAGTGTGAGCATAGGGCATTTGGCAGCTTGGTTTTAAGGCTGTACATGTCATTCATAGAGACTAGAGCTTATGTACCAAAATGTACGGATGACTCAAGGGCAATGGGAATTTTTGCAACAGGTAAGTCAGGAGCCAACTGATAGATGACTTTGTATTCTGTGATGAAGACTTGGGTTTTAATTTTTAGGTACTATAAAACCAAGGATTTGTTTTATGTGTGGTCAAATGTGATTTGTTTTGAGTCTTACTAAGAGTGTTCCCGTGGCAATGAACACAGAGGTATAGGAAAGGGGGCATTAGTGTAGACTCAGAGGCCAGAAGATAAGTTAGTTCACTGCTGTGGTAGTCCACGTGAGAAGAGAGAGGGAGCTGAGTCCACGTGAGAAGAGAGAGGGAGCTGAGTGCAGGTGGTTGGAGTGGGGAAGAGTAGAGGAATCCAGGGAGAGTAACCATCATTAACTCTTTTGGGTGAGGAAGAAGGAAGAGTCCAAGATAACAACCAGACTGCAATGAATTGAAAAAATGGGGAAGAGTTTTTCTTTTAGAAGCTTGGATTTTTGATAATTTTTTTTTTTAATATATGCAAGTTATTTGAACACCTTTGTAGACTGAAGGAAAGACATATAAAAGGTGTGAGAGAGTATTCTTAGTGATGTAAGAGCTTCTGATGTCGCTGGGGAATTCTTAGGCAGTTTACAGAGTAGCACATGAAGAGCCAGTGTTTTTACCAAAAAACGTGTAACTCTGAATTTCATCATGGAGAGGGTTCTGTCAAGAGCAGGGCTGAAGTGATACACTATTACTTTGGGGTCTGTTAAGGCAGGGAATGAGGAGGAGATGCTAGAGTAAGTAAAAAGAGGGATTGCTGATCTTGCTGGTGAAGTCAGAGAGATGTTCTTTGAGGGAACACCTGCTCAGTTCTGGGAATAAAGTAGGTCTTTAATAAAGGTGGTTAGGTTCAATGATTACTCAAGAAAATCTGTGACAAGATTGCATAACTTGAGGAACAGATTTAGGAAAACAAACATAGAAACTGTGGAGTATTTTCCGTCCTGCTTGGCCTGCTTTTGATCAGCCAGTGTGGACCAAATACCCAGTGACTACATCCAGCACATTCACATAGGTCTTTATGAATAGCCCTCTTCCTTTTTCTCACTTGAAGTTACTGGTTCAACTACATCTGTTTGTTGGCTGAAAATGGTAGAAAAGTTGTTTCCAATGACTGTCACACCGTCAGAGAATCCCAGTAATTCTTATCGGAGTGAGGCATGGCAAATGAATTAGTGTTTCAAAATTAATTATTTTAAACTTTTCTTCTCTGATTAATTTCTCAAAATGGCATAAAACTCTCTTTATTCTCTTGTCAAATACTAACTATTTGGGGCTTTGTTAAATCTTCTTTGTACTCTTATCACCAGAAAAAAGGTTCTTTTAATTTTGACTTGTAAACCTGAAATGATCAAGTTACAATTTTATGAATGTTGTGTATTCATAAAATTGAAAGATTTATTTGACTAGCTTACTGTGCAGTAGAACAGTTTACCCAAGGTTTCAAAGGAAATATTAACCAATAATTAAGAGTACTTCACAGTTTGTTTATGGACATTTCTGTTAACTGTGTTGCTTAAATGCTGCAGTGGAAGATGATTTGTTTTTCTTATACTAGATACAGTTTTTAAAAATATAACATATATATATATATATATATATATATATATATATATATATATATATATATATCCTAATTCTTCCTGTTGAGAGGGCCTAGAAGCAATGATATGCTATTAGCAATGAGTGTATCTTGTGACAAACCTTGGTTTCTAAAAAGTCATCTCTTTCTACAAGGACCCAGCCCTGTAGAGAAATGGCTGATTCCAGGGCTGGTACAGGGAAGGTTCAAAATGGAACATCTTGTGCCAGGGAGCAAGGGACTACTCAGGCATGTGGTGGGGACATGTCAGAAGGACTTAGAGGTCTGCTTGAAACAATTCTCAGTCACCGTATCTGGGAATATTTTAATATAAAAATGCAAATGGATTATAAACTTGTTGAATTAAACAAGAATCCATAATTTTAATGAGTAAATAAATACATGGGATATAAAGAAAAGTTTTTGTTTAGTGCTGTGGTGCATGCCTATGATTCCAGCAGCTCAGGAGACTGAGGCAGGAGGATTCTGAATTCATACCCAGCCGCAGCAACTTAGCGAGGCCCTAAGCAACTCGGTGAAACCTTGTCTCTAAAAAAAAAAAAAAAAAAAAAAAAATATATATATATATATATAAAAGGGCTAAGGATGTTGCTCAGTGGTTAGGTACCACTTCAATCCCTGGTACCAAAAAAAAAGTTTCTGCTAACTGAAGAATGTCAATGAATAAATTTTCAGGAATGAAAAGAGTTATAAAAATCACAGTCACCTCCTTAACCAAGTGATTAAAGTTAATATTGCCAATAATGAAAGGGATTTGCTGGTATGCTGTACTTTCTGGTTTGATGCACTGAGAAGCATAACTTTGAATCCCATTGTGTAGAAATATTAGTCAAACCCCAGTTGTCAGACATTCTGTAAGACAGCTGTCATCTTTTTTTTTTTTTTTTTGAGGCACCGGGGATTGAACACAGGGTTACTATACCACTGAGCTACATCCCCACATCAAGGCTGGCCTCAAACTTGCAGTTCTCTTGCCTTAGCCTCCCAAGTCACTGGGATTATAAGCATGCACCACCACCCAGTTTAAAACACCAGTCTTGTACTTCACTAGAGAGGATAGTGTCATAAAAAGCAAAGCCTTAGAAACCAACTCTTCCCCACTAATGGAGACTAAAGAGTCATGAAAACAAAACACATAGTGTAATCTTAGACTAGAAAAACAGAAGTTGCTGAAAAGGACATTATTGGGAGAATTGTCTACATTTGAGGTCTATAGGTTAAATAGTTGTATTTTTTTATTTTGGTAATTGTTTTGTCTTTGTTCTTAGGAAGTGTATCCTGAAGTGTTAGGGGCCCAAGGGAGTGTCTGTGACTTATTTTCAAAAATTTAGGGAAAATGAGAGTGATAAAGCAAATCAAACAAAAATAGTAAAACTTGGTGAATCTGAGGGAAGAAAGGAGTTCATTGTGCTGTTCTTGCAAATTTTAAATCTTAGTTCAGAATTTAAAAAATACATTTTTTTGTATTAGAATTCTTATTACACCAAAAACTATTACATAATCTTAACTTATTGAAACCATCAAATAGACAACTTGGTTCTCTTGAATAGTTTATCAGTGAATGGTATTCAAGCATGTTCAAGTAGCCTTGAAGAGTTTCAGAAGAGACCTGTCAGCTTTCCTCAGTCTTATTTGGCATCATAGTGCTCACATGTGTGATGTTAGTCAGGATTAGCTTCCTGAAAAGTATGCTTTGAGTAATACTCTTATTTTTTTGTTTTTATTTTAAAGCCTTTCTGGTCTTAAGTCTTTCATTTCTTTCAGATTTTTGGCCTTTGAGCCAGTATCATTAGTTTTCCATGTCTCTGTTAATTTATAGGACTTATCCATGTTTACACTGGCAGATCTTTAGTTCAACAAATGTGTGGGGGAAAGGTGTACAGAATTGCATGCAGAAGCTAAATGGCATCTCTAAACTGTATTCTTTTTTTTTAATATTTATTTTTTAGTTGTAGTTGAACACAATATCTTTATTTTATTTATTTATTTCATGTGGTGCTAAGGATCAAACCCAGGCCTCGCACATACTAGGTAAGCGCTCTACTGCTCAGCCACAACCCTAGCCCCCCTCTAAACTGTATTCTTGATTAGTTTCTCCATTCTTTCCTGCATTTTGCAACTGGAGTCATCTCTTACTCTTAATTTCTTTGACTCAACAAATTTTTTTTTTAGTGTTTATTTTTTAGTTATAGTTGGACACAATATCTTTATTTTATTTATTTTTATGTGATGCTGAGGATCGAACCCAGGGCCTCTCACATGCTAGGCAAGTGCTCTATTGCTGAGCCACAGCCCCTTCCCATGACTCAACAACTTTTATTAATTTTTCTTCTCTCTCCCTTTTTTTTTTTTTTTKTCCTGGGGATTGAACCCAGGAGCACTTTATCCCAGTGGTATACCCCCAGCCTTTTTTAAAATTTTATTTTGAGACAGTCTCATTAAGTTGCACAGACTGGCCTTGAACTTGCTATCTTCCTTCCTTACTCTCCTGAGTAGCTGGGATTACAGGTGTGAGCCACCACACCTGGCATAATTCTCTTTCTTAATATCTGAACACCTACAGTATTGCAGCAGTTTCTATTGAGTTTCTTTGTCTTCAGTTTTATTGGCCAGCAGTCTATCTGGAGTCCAGAAATCATGACAGAAAGTATACATATTTGCTTTTCTCATCCTCAGAACCATCAAAAAATGAGCAATACCAAATGAACAGAAAAGGAAACTTCATTTATATTGAAATCAGTATAAATGAAAGAGTTATAAAAATCACTTTGCAGCTATCACAGTCACCTGAAATCAGGGAATATCAACAGTCCCATATCAAAGAATTTCAAATAATATCTGTAGCATACAGTTTGGACCAAATGATTAAAAGATATTACGTTTTGACATTTCTCCTCTTATCAAAG